CCCTACTCAGGGAACCATGGTTACATAAGTAACCTGAGACGATTTCTTTGACCCTGGCAACACGATTGCTGAAATATGATTGGATAAAAGCTCTAATATAAACATACACTGCTGGAAGCAGTGCAACCAAGAGAAAAGCTATGAAATGAAGAGAATAGACTATTGGAAATAATTTAATACACATTCATGGGAAAATATATTAAAACTAAATCAGTGATTCTGATAGTGTTTAGGCCAGCAGAGAAGGCTTTGCTGGCCCTGACGACCCCCAGATGTGTTCAAGAACATGCAAGTACCTTAATAGAAGAGTGAAGTAATATCTCACAGCAAGAATTGGCAAATCTTTCTCAGTCCATTGAGATGCACTGTAGTACTTAAAGCAGCTGATGGACACACCATATACTGACAGCTACTTACTAACTGCTACTGTTGAAATTGACCCCTGCTCAGGGACTCTTTGTTTCATTTCTGTTAGCCAAATGTCTGTAAAATTTATTCTGTTTATGTCTCAGTTGTTGGATATTTTATGTTCATACAAACATTTACACATACGAAATTTGTTGGAAAAAAGCTTAGAATGTTTACTTTACACTAACCTTGATGACTGTTGCCTTGGCAGGAGTTGATGTGGTCGGTGCTACGCAATCATCCTAAAGTGTTGCATCATATTGTTGATAATGTGCAAGTATATTCCACTGGTATTAGGGAGTGAAAGTTTCAGTTATTCTCTACTTTTCTCTACTAATTCCCATTTTTATTTTTTTCTGGATATGGTACAATAACAATTTGTTTAGATAAAATAAAATAAAGATATGAAAATGTGGAGCTGTAAAGAGTTAAGTATAAGAGTTAAGTATAATAAGCCTGATCTAACACAAAATAGAAGTTATCAAATTCATAATTAACCAGACTTACATACTCACAAAGGGGGGTCCCACAGATAAGCACACATTCATATATATAAAGACTTACATGGGGGGTCCCACAGATAAGCACACATTCATATATATATATATATATATATATATATATATTATATATATATATACACTGTATATATATATATATATATATATATATATATATGAATATGCAATATGC